CATGCATCTGTTCTTCACATATTTTTCTTTTTCCTTAAAAGAGCCCGTGACCTGAAGGTTGAGCTCAAGGACGCTCCCAGGCAAGTCACTGAAGTTTTCCCCTTGCTCTACCTGTTGACCTCTGCTCTCCCCTGATTACTCCCGAAAAATGGAGAGATCCACACAAGAACTTTTCCTCAACTTCATGATTGTCCTGATTACTGTGTTGCTCATGTGGCTCCTTGTGAAGTCTTATCAGGAGTAAAAGACAATCAGAAACTCTGGGAGGTGATTTAAGTGTGTGTCTCCGCAGACATAAGTAACACCCACAGCACACCGCTGTGATTAGCTTTCAGTCAACTGAGGATGTCGTCAATTTTTTTTTACTCTCTCGTATCTGTTGCCCGTGCTAACGTCTATGATGGGTCTATGATGGTGTAATTATTTTATTCTGCAGTGATCCAGCTGTAAAATGTAAAATGCAAGATCCTTAGGAACTGTTCAATGTGGCTGTCTCCTCCGGTGGTTATTGTGAATGCTGTAACCCCCTGCCCGCCATGCCGGCTTGGTTGGTGTTGGTGTTAGGTTCTTGAGGGTATAAAACTGCAGCATGCAATGTAACCATCTGTATTAACCAGCGTAAGAGGCACAAACTCGCTTAGCAGAAAGGAATGTGAAACCTCTACTTTCACTTGCTCGTTTCACTTAAATAAAGAACATGTAAAACCATTTTTTGTAGCATTCCTTATCCTTCTCCTGGCCTGACTGCTGTTCACTGAGAGACCTGCTGATAACTGCAGTACAGTGCGCTGTGCAAGTCTGGTGGTTTGCTTGCTCCTCCCACCTGCATTTTTATTTGTATTTAAAAAAAAAAAAATTGCTGTAGAGTGGAAATCCTGCAACTTAACAGCTGTGTAGCCACATGAATGAGCTGTTCAGGTCACTTTTCTGTCCAGAGTGACTTACACTGTTGGTGCCTATGGACGTGGACTTCAAAGACAACCTCCGTCCCACCGAGACATTGTCAATAATTGCATTTTCTGAAGCTGGATTTCGGGCAGGGATTCCCAGGATCCTATATTTGGCCAAGCTATGCTTGGAGCAGTGCCTGGAAGGACGAGCCTGGGTCAGTCGCAGTCATAGGCACCCGCTGGCGCCGCAGCCCTGCTGCGAGCCTTGCCTGGGGCGGCAGTCCCTTGGGGTCTGCTGTGGTGCGCCAGGCGCCGCGGCACGGCCATGCTCAGCTTCGGCAGGACAAGGCGCGAGTGTGTCTGGGTTGCTGTGATGGTGTCGTCGCCTGCTAAAAAATCTTGAGCCAGCTTGAAGAGCCCACAGTCCCTGGGTTTGTGCAATCAGTAATCAAACTCCGCCTAGGCATTCCCCATCTGTTATTTTAATGGCTTCAGAGAATCAGTATCTTCTACAAAATACAGCTTTCTGTAGCAGGCAGTGAGGTGTGTGCCACACTGCTGATACAGGTCTCCTTCCCCTCCAGGAGCCTGCAGGAGCAGGCAGCATCGCGAGGCTGTGCTGTGAGTTACCCAAGGCTGCTCTCTGGTATGGTTAGATGGAGCAGTGTTGGCCGTGGCAGCTGGGACTTGGGCTTGGGCTTTAAGGAAAGACAGCAAACATTGTGGTAGCACCGCTTGTTAAGTGTGTGTGTTGCTTAAATATTGCCAGTAAATGACCCGTTGCCCTGTGCCACTTGTGCTGTCCGTCCGGGTTTGCAGCCACCCCGCTGCAGCTGGTGCCACTCATCCTTCCAGTCAAGAAATCCCCACTCCAGTGCAATGATAAAAATCACCTCTTGTTTACTCTTGGCTGCAACTGAGCAAACCTCCTTCCAGCATTTCCAGGGATAGCAAATTTTCTGCGAGAAAACCAAGACATTGAAATGAACTTTTGCCAGGGGTGGACGCAGCCTTTCTCTGCAGCCCACCTTGTGCCAGATGTTGCTATATTTTCACTAATTTACACGGTCAGCTTGTGTTCATAAGCTTGGCTGACAGACGCAGCAGCAGCTAGAGAAGGACATGGAAAATCTATTTTTAAATACAGGGAATACTTGATAATTCAGTATGAAAGATTCTCGTCTTTCACCGGCTGTGACTCCCTACCCCAGCTGAACATGGTGTCTTCATCCAGCATTATCAGACCTTTCCTGTGACTTAAAAATAGATTTTCAGAGTCTCTCATGCATCACAGCTTTCACAGGGGACCTCAATGCTGTGCACTGGTCCCACCTGGCAGGGCTGAGCTTTTCTGCCAGTCCCAGTGCACATGGCCACTGCCCAGGGAGAGCAATGTCATGAGCAAATTGATGTGTTTGGGCTCATCTCAGGCTAGCAACGCAAAAAATAGAGGTGTGGGCTTCACTGTCTGAACTAGAAGTGGTTCAGCAACAGCTCAAGGTGATCCTAGCAATTTTCAGATAGGAAGAGAAAATGTTCCGGAGAGTTTGGGCCATCCGCAACTTTTAGCCATCAGTCTTTTTGGGAGTAGACTTGCATCTAACTTTGACGATATGATTAAGGTAAAGCACCCCAAACAAGTTGCTAGAAGTGAGAATACCAGCCTAAGTGGTTCTCTTTTCAGGCTTTTATAATTTTAAAGCAGATTTTAAATGAGGTAAGTTAGTCGCCTAAGTAAGTAATTTGCCTAAAACTGAAGAAAGGCAATGCAACTGGCTGCAAAGAGCCAGCACTGTGCAGGTGCACAGGCACATTAGTGTCAAAGAGCATCAGCCAAATACACATATACAGACAAAATTTCCCAGTTTGAGGGACCTTAATATAGATGTTTGGTGTGACCCTCGAGTCTCAAACTCTCTTCATTATCTTCCCACTTGCCAAAGAGGCCCTGGAGGAGAGGTGACTCTCCAGTGATGTATGTTACCAGCATTTTCCAGCCCTTTGCAGTGTAAGGGCGATTGAGAACACCAGAGGGCTTCTGGGCTAACAGTGATTTGTCTTTAGTTTGTCAGTAAAATTATTTTAGGCAAAAGTTTTATTAAAACTATACTTTAGAGTAAGTAGCTGCCCTAACTCCTCCAGCCTCCCTGGGCAAACTCTTCCAGTGTTTGACCACCCTCACAGTAAAAAACCTTTTTCTTATGTTTAAATGTAATTCCTGCATTTCAGTTTGTGCCCATTACCTCTTGTCTTGTTGCTGGGCACCACTGAGAAGAGTCTGGCTCTGTCTTCTTTATTCCCTCCCATCAGGTATTTACATACATTGATAAGATCCCCCTGAGCTGTCTCTTCTCCAGGCTGAACAGTCCCAGCTCCCTCAGCCTTTTCTCATATGTCAGATGATCCAGTCCATTTGTCTTCTTCATGGTCCTTTGCTGGACTGTCTCCAGCATGTCCACGTCTCTCTTGTACTGGGGAGCCCAGCACTGGACACAGCACTCCAGGTGTGTCTCACCAGTGCTGAGCAGAGGGGAAGGATCACCTCCCTTGACCTGCTGGCAGTGCTCTGCCTGATGCGGCCCAGGAGGCTGTTTGGCTACTGCCGCAAGGGCCCACTGCTGGCTCATGGTCACCTTGATGTCCATGGTGAGCCCCAGGTCCTCTGCAGAGCTGCTTTCCAGCTGGTTGGTCCCAGCCTGTCCTGGTGCCTGGGGTTATTCCTTCCCGGGGCAGAACTTGGCATTTCCCTCTGTTGAATTTGATGAGGTTCCTGTCGGCTCATTTCTCCAGCCTGTTGAGCAGGACAACACTCTGGTGTATCAGCCACTCCTTTCAGTTCTATATCCTTATTTTACATCTTTCCATATGTACATTTACATACTTTACATCATTTTAATTAACCCATACCTGTTTTAAGCCGCAGATGTTTATCCCTTCTTTGTGGCCCCTAACACATTATGAATGATGTACCATGAAGAGCATCTATTATGCAAGCTCTCTTTTACATCTGCAAGCTTTTTTTTTTTTTTTTAATATATATATTTTCATACGTATATATGTATGTATATCAACATTTGACCTGCTGTAAGTTTTACACATAGTGTGCACAGGACATGAACGCAGCACAGTACCTGCTCATGGAGAGGATTGCCAAGGCGACACTATGCTTACCCTGTTTCCTCTCCCATCCCATCTACTTTGTTAAAGGCACGCTGTGTAGGACCTCAGGAACTGCCAATGACAAGAAAAACGGTGGTTGCTCATGACTTTGACCTGACCTGAACAAGGCAATTTTCATTCTGGCATGTAAGTATAGATGAATTAGCCTCACCCAGAAGCAGAAGTTCAGTGGTGGCCTTTCCGTTCACTTTACTGGGCTTTGGATCAGACCGTAACTACCTAATTTTAGATGTTCAGATTTCAAAAGTTTGGCTCTAGGCCTGGTAATTCAGAATTGCTAAGCACTCAGCACTTTGCTCAACAGAAACTAGAGACACAGGATGTTCAACATGCTTTTGGGAAAAATCAGACCACGAGTTTGTGTGCCTGGATACCAGCCTGGAAACCAAATTTTAGGCACCAAGATTTGAAACTTTGGTTAAACCTTAGAAAATTGTTCAGTGGCGTTTACCAAAATGCTTTTATCAATCAATCAGAAGTGTTTTCAGTCAAAATGGGTTTTTGTATTTTTTTCAAGAGTGTTTTTATCAAGGAAAATTAAAATTTGTCAAAGGCAAATGCCATGCTTGAAAACCAGCTGTGTCCATTTTGCTTTTGAATGATATCATGGTTGCTGTAAACTGTGTGGCTTGTGCCCCTTTTCTCTTTTATTGCCCAGGCCCAGGTCAGGCAGGTTCTCTATCCTGTGTGACATAACCAGCCACGCTCACGATCTCTCACTGCCAAGTCACAGGGTAGGAAACTGCCATGCAATGAGAGAGAGAGGAGAAAGGAAAAAAAAATGACTGACACCGAGGAACTGCATGTGCTGCATTTCTAAGTGAGTTGATTACAAACCATTTATTGCTGACATTTTTCAGTTTGCAAAGATTCACTCAAAATTCAGTTTTCTGTGGAAAAAATTGCACACTGCCTAAGCTCTTTGTGTGTGTGTGTGTTGTGTGTGTGTACTCAGTAGATGCATAGAAGGAGAAGGAAAGGCAAAAAACAAGGTTCTCAGCCTTATCAAAACAGCATTCCTACGTATGTATATAAGTTTTCTCTGGACCAAACCAAGAAAATGTGAAGCATAAATAACTTCCTCGCTACGTAGCAAGTCCAGCATGGTTCTATTTATACAACTGCATTTGGAAGTGTCCCAAAGGTGATAGATGCCCTTGGAATTCAAGAAGAACTTTGTACGATAATTATCTATATTTTGGTGGTGCAGTGAGCTAGGAGGGATCAAGAAGACTGACAGCTGCTGACCCCTTGGGATGCCGTTGTCGGGGCTCCTAAATCATTCTCCACCTACACAGCTGAGCTGGTTTGCCCCTTGTGCATAGGGTTTACTCACAGATTAGTGTCTCGCAGGTCTGAGCTGG